ACATTCTATCCATGTGCAGCACCGATGGTAAGATGTGTTGATGGATGAAGTTGTCTCAGCAGCAGAGTTGCCTTAGTCCTGCCAAGCACCTAAGTTGAATGACCTATTAAACATGGTTGACCTAAGGTAGTTGGAGATATTTATAAGTAAATACAGCTATTAAATGTGGACCTTCTAGTAGGCTCTAAATATAGCCTTTTATTTTTTTTACACATAGCTTTTAATTCTAGTTCCTAAAGCCATTCATTCAAGTTTGATTTGGGGAAGAGAAGGAGAAAAAAGAGAGGTTTGCAGAATATATGTAAATAAAATAACACTAGAATGTTGAAAGAAGTTACAGGGTGAACTAAATAAAAATTTTTAGGAGGTAACATTGATATAAAATACTAATTAAAATTAAAATTTGAATTATCTACAATAAAATAAAAAATAAACCCAGGTTCTATGTAGAACCTAGGGTTTGCTATCAAATAATAACTTTCCCTCTGTTTCTACTCTATAGAAGACAATAGTAGAAAAGAACACTGGATTATAAGTTATGGTAGTTGGGTAATTGGTGACCTTAAGCACGTCATCCAAATTTTGGAGGTATCAGTTTCCTCATTTGTAAAATTAGAGTTAGTAGATGTAAACTTTTTCTTACAACTATTAACTTTTGCTTTTCTGTTCTGTTTCACACATCAATATTTACTGAGTCTTACTTAGAGCTCTTGTGTATAAAATACAATAGTACTTAATATTTAGGTTGTTCTTAGATGTGAGATTTTTTTCGTAACACTTATATGACCCTCTAACTTATCTGTAAGTTTCGTAAGGGCAATAATTATTGTTTCTTTTATTCACTGATTTATTTCAAGCACTTTAACATATACTAAACACTCAACATTTGTCAACTTAATGGTTAAATGAAACAGTACATGTAAAGTGCTTAGCACAGTAATTGGCACAAAGTATTTGATAAATGATCCTATAAATGGTTCTGATAAGTAGTTTATTAACACCCACAGTGCCATCTCACTAAGATAGCTGGAAGAAGTTGGGATATTTCAAAGAGAAGTTGGAGAGTACTGAGGACCACACTGTTGTTCCCAAATATTTGAAAGAATATCACATGTTACTTTTAGAGAGAGAGGAAAAACAAAAACAAAAACAAAAACAAAACATGGGCCAAGAGGCAGAAACTACAGGAAGATATTTTTTAAATTTGGAGTAAAGAAGACCTAACAAAACTGCTTAAAAGTGAGATGAATTGATGTTCAAGTAAATGTCGAATTACTACATAACCAGTTAATGGGGGGATAAAAAATTTAACTAAAGGCTATAAATTTAGTATTCCATGAATTAAACTATATGGAAAGAACTCTGTGTTTATCATATACAAAATAAATTTTAAAATACACAAAATATAAAATTTTGCAATGCTTCTGGAAATAAAATCATAGACGGACAATGGCAAATATTGTAAAAACCAATCTATTTACTTAGTGTACATGGGATCAAAGGGCATTTGCTTTTTGGAAAATATACCGTATGACTGAAAACAAATGCTGCTGATTTTTCTTACTAATGCTGGCAAATGGAGCAGATAGGAATCATGGAATTCTTTATTCCCTATCAGAAAAACAGAACTACTTAAAGCCAGATTTTTTTCTTTTCTGATCTTTTTACTGCTGTGGTAACACTGCACTTCAGAATACAGTATGAGAATATTGGCAGTTGGCATGTTCCTGGGTTGCATAAAACTAACTGATGCATCATTCCTGCCAACTAGGGATGATTTTGACAAAATGTATGACATTGATAAAAAAAGGAATCTCACTCAATATCATTTTTATTGAAGGATGTGTGGCCTCATACCAAAATAGCCCTATCAATCTATTGCCATCAGATCAGACAGAACAGAATTGGGTACATAAAATGGCTATCATAAAATGTATCCTAGCTGGAGCTAAGTCTGATCACAGAAGGACAGTTAAGCATTTGGAAAATGAAGGAAGTACATTTCCCTTAATAAGCCATCAAAAGTTAGTAACAAGTGACTTGGCTCTCTATCTGGGGCAGAAATCCTGAGAAAGATGCAGTGGTTTCTAAAGTTTTTGCTGTTCTTCACATTGGCTACCTGTTAATAAAAAGATATACTGTACATAATGTTTTAAAGGTATGCAATGAAGAAGCAGCTTCCCTACCACTTATAACTTCTAGTGTTACCATCTCAGAAGTGCACTTCATTCACACATTCAAAACTATTGTGTTGTCTTACTAGTGATGATAGGTAATTTTATGTGTCTAGTGCCTGGGCTATGGGTGCCCAGACATTTTACCAAACATTATTCTGCCTGTGTCTGTGAGAGTGTTTTGGATGAGATTAATATTTGAAACAGTAGACTGAGTAAAGCAGATTGCCCTTTCTAATATGGATAGACTTCAAACAATCAACTGAAGACCTGAATAGTATTAAAAGGCTAAGAGGTAATGTTTTTTGCCTGACAGCATGAGATGGACATTGGTCTTTTTCAGCCTTCAGACTTGGACTGAAACATTGGCTCATCTTGAATTGCAAGACTACCAGCTTTCAGACTGGAACTTAATATTATCAGCTCTCATGGTTCTAAGACCTTTCGACTTGGATTGGAACTACACATTGGCTCTCCTGGGTCTTTAGCTTGCCAAATACAGATCTTGTGACTTCTCAGCCTCTTTAATCACATGAACCAATTCCTTGTAAATCATATATATACATATATAAATATATACACACATATATACATATATGCATTTTTTATATATGTATATACTTTTGGTTTTATTTCTCTGGAGAATTTGACTAATACACTGATTCAGCCACAACAACAGGGAATGGGCTGAGTTGTGTCAATCAAGTGAATTATCCAGGTAATTCAAGTCAATCTCTGTGGAAGCTAATATTTTAGTATCTTGTCTAGAAGCAATGTAGGTGACCAGGCAAGGTAATGACATTTTTGTGATATAAAATAACAAGCCCATTTTCTAATGCTTTAAAAATGTGCTCTGAAAGCAATTCCTCACTTCTAAATCCCAAATTATATGATTCTACATTACAAACCAAACTCATGTAGTCATTCTCAAAATCAGTTTTAAAAGCAACTATGAAAATACCCCGCATTGCCAAGACAATCCTAAGTCAAAAGAACGAAGTTGGAGGCATCACGCTACCTGACTTCAAACTGTACTACAAGGCTACAGTAACCAAAACAGCATGGTACTAGTACCAAAACAGAGATATAGACCAATGGAACAGAACAAAGCCCTCAGAAATAATACCACACACCTACAGCCGTCTGATCTTTGACAAACCTGACAAAAACAAGCCATGGGGAAAGGATTCCCTATTTAATAAATGGTGCTGGGAAAATTGGCTAGCCATAAGTAGAAAGCTGAAACTGGATCCTTTCCTTACTCCTTATATGAAAATTAATTCAAGATGGATTAGAGACTTAAATGTTAGACCTAAAACCATAAAAACTCTAGAAGAAAACCTAGGTAGTACCATTCAGGACATAGGCATGGGCAAGGACTTCATGTCTAAAACACCAAAAGCAACGGCAACAAAAGCCATAGTTGACAAATGGGATCTCATAAAACTAAAGAGCTTCTGCACAGCAAAAGAAACTACCATCAGAGTGAACAGGCAACCTACAAAGTGGGAGAAAATTATTGCAATCTACTCATCTGACAAAGGGCTAATATCCAGTACCTACAAAGAACTCAAACAAATTTATGAGAAAAAAACAAACAACCCCATCAAAAAGTGGGCAAAGGATATGAATAGACATTTCTCAAAAGAGGACATGCATACAGCCAACAGGCACATGAAAAAGTGCTCGTCATCACTGGCCATCAGAGAAATCCAAATCAAAACCACAATGAGATACCATCTCACACCAGTTAGAATGGCAATCATTAAAAAGTCAGGAAACAACAGGTGCTGGAGAGGATGTGGAGAAATAGGAACACTTTTACACTGTTGGTAGGATTGTAAGCTGGCTCAACTATTGTGGAAAACAGTATGGCGAATCCTCAAGGATCTAGAACTAGAAATACCATTTGACCCAGCCATCCTGTTACTGGGTATATACCCAAAGGATTATAAATCATGCTGCTATAAAGACACATGCACACGTATGTTTATTGCGGCACTATTCACAATAGCAAAGACTTGGAATCAACCCAAATGTCCATCAGTGACAGACTGGATTAAGAAAATGTGGCACATATATCCATGGAATACTATGCAGCCATAAGAAACGATGAGTTCATGTCCTTTGTAGGGACATGGATGCAGCTGGAAACCATCATTCTCAGCAAACTATTGCAAGAACAGAAAACCAAACACCTCATGTTCTTACTCATAGGTGGGAATTGAACAATGAGATCTGGACTTTTTCAATTGAACAATTGAACCTAGACTCTGGAAGGGGAACATCACACACTGGGGCCTATTTTGGGGAGGGGGTAGAGGGGAGAGATGGCATTGGGAGTTATACCTGACATAAATGTTGAGTTGATGGGTGCTGACGAGTTGATGGGTGCAGCACACCAACATGGCACAAGTATATATATGTAACAAACCTGCACGTTGTGCACATGTACCCTAGAACTTAAATAAAAAAATATATATGAGAGAAAAAAAAAGCAACTAGGAGTTTGAGACATGTTTACTTTCCAAGTGAATTACTCAAGGATATAAAAATCCATTTCATTACCTTACAGTCATGTGTTTTAGGACTTACAGATTCATCATCTTCATTTGTTGATTCCTGTTATTATTAATCAGCACATGGTGGGTCTACTTATTTTCCATGATTTTCTCCAGGCACAGGTGCGTTATGAAATTTAAGCTCTATTTCCACTGCACACATTAAGCTTTGAAAGATTTTTTTTTATTGTACACTAAAAGCTACCTTTTGGTGCTGCCAAATTCCTGGTATTAACTCCATGTAAATTTTCTTATTGTCACTCACCTGCCCAGAAGCAGAAATTCTCCCGCTAGACCCAGGCGCCTCATGGCCATCAGCAGACCTCTCACCGTCATACCCTCACAGAAGCAGGCCACCACCCGGGCCTTAGGCAAGTGACTTGTGAGCTTCTTCAGCAGCTTATCAAAGCTCTGCTCTCCTGCATTACTGTAGATTTTGTAGGAGTGGGCGATGCAAATCCCTTCCTTCGCTGACATGTCTTTGAAGGCTTCCATCCCACTTTCTCCATAGTTGCCTGTGTGAAAACATAGATAAGCAGAGGGATAGTGAAATGAGATTGTTGCATTAATTGGGTGTAATCAGAATGTAGGTGTTAGGAGCATGAAAGTCATGGTGCAGGACTTGGAACCTGAAGAACTGAATTTCAGTTTTTGCTCTTTTGCTGAATTGCTTATTTTGGGCAAATTACAATTGAACCACATTATACATGCATTCATCATTTATATTTTCACTGTGATGGAGAGAATAATATAAAAAGGGTAAGCAATTCATCATCCTTTTATGACTGAAAAACAGCTCTTATTCTAAGTATGAGTTGATGGAGATATGTATCAGCTATTTTTTTGTTTGCATTCAATCTCACTTCTCTTTGCTTTTCATTGATGATAATTTCATCCTACTGAGATTTTTGTATTTAAAGATATAGTATGTATGAGTAATACATGTAGTCTATATAGTATAGATGTTGCCATATAAATGTTTTAAAAAGTATTATACTATATGTAATATTCAGTATATTATATATTTATAATCATGAGAATTTATGGTTTGGTCTTAACTGAAAAACTGAGATCCTTGATTAAGATTTAGTCTTGTCACAGATGAATGTGTAAACTTATGAAAAACGTTTACAGTTTTATCTTATACAAACATGGGGTAGTTATTGATAAGGATGAAAAAGTTCAAAGTCCTTTTCAAAATTTGGAGACTAAGGACTAATGGTAGTCTTTTAAAATGAATGGAAAAGGGGATTAATATTGACAGTCAGTTATATGCCAGGACACCAGGACCTTTATATATGTGATCTAATTTAGCACTCACAATAAAATATTGATGTAGATATTATGAGTTCCATTCCATATATAGATCAGAAAACAGATAAAGCAGTTAGGTCCGCATTTACCTGGAGTTACTCTAGCAGTAATGGAGGGCTGAACTCCATTCACAGATCTAATAGCATAGGTTCTGCTCCCTCTACTTGTCTAAGGCTGACTCTTAGGAGTCTCAGAATTCTAGTTACATACTCATTTCTTTTTTCTATTTGAAAGTGATAATTCTCCAATTTTAGATATTTTTGGAACATTTTAAGGCTATATATTTTATACAGGGCTCATATTCTGAATTTTCAAAATATTAGATATATGAGGGGGGTTGTTTTGAAGAATACAAGAGGCTATTACAAGATAACCAAGCTGTAGAACATATAAGGATGTGACTGACCTAAAAATCAACTTGACCTAGGAACTGGAAACTCATCAGGATGAGTAGATATCAAATTAATAAGGAGCACTGAACATTCAATCCCATAGGGTTCACTATATGTCTATAACTGCAATAAAAATAATTCCACAACAATTTGATTTTGGGAAAGTCAGTTTACATATGCTAGCTCACTGCTCCTTACAACTCTGTGATAAAGGTTAATGTTATCTCCTCTTGGCTGATACAACTGAAGTTCAAATACAGATAGTAGGTGTCAGGATCTTGGTTTGAACATATGTCTCTGATTCCTGTCCTGATGTGGGTGCTACCATACCACAGGTACCTTGCTGCAAATGAAATCTATAAACTTTGAGGGTGGATTTTGGTGAAGTTTTGTCTCCATGAACAAACTACAAAGGGCAGAGCAGAGCAGGTCAGCTTGAGCCTGAGCCAAAAATACTGGTGGGCCAGCTGCATCTTTTCCCTCCTTCTCCAGAATTAAAAGCAACAAGAAACCTCTGTCATGATGGCAGGTGGGTAATCTAGTTATTTTGCAATTAACAAAGTTTAAAGGGCACTTTCTGAAAAATGTGCCAATGGGCCTCAATTACTATCAGTTTTACACTAATATGAGTAATCTATTATTCTTTGATTTATTTTTAGCTAACTCCGTTTTTCAACAGATTGTCTTGCATTTCATGTTTTGATTTAATGCAGAGGCATTTGCATAAATAATTTGAAATTAGGTATAGTGATTGTGATGTGAATTTATTGAGAATTTCACATCATTTACTTTTATTCTCAATACATTCACTGTTAAACAAGAAAAGACACCTAACAAATTCAGATTTCTTAGCATTTTGTTCCTAACAGTTTTAACACTGTTTTTGTTTGTACAATATGTTGTAGAGAAGCAGCTTGAAATAGTGGAGAGAACTTTGTCATTAGAGAAACCTGAGTTCGACTTCAGTTTATATAGTCTTTTTAATCTCAGCTTTCTGAAGTAACACTGCTTAATATTCAGATATTTTAATATTATATTCAATGTATGTAAACTATATGGTAGGTCACCTGAACCCAATTAATTGTACCTACTGAAATTATAAAGAATATTCTAGACAGAGTTTAGCTACTCTTTAATGCAGCATCCAAAACAAACAGTGGAGCAAATGGCACTATTGCTGAACACTAGACTAAAAAAAATAAGCTTACACTAGCAGAATAAAATATTATTTTCCCAGAGCAAATCTCAAGCTGTACTCTTTAAAATTAAAAAAGGCAGGGGGTATATGAAAAATTTTCACTCAATTTTGCAGTGAATCAAAAACTGCTCTAAGAAAGAAAGTTTACTTTAAACATTTAAATAAGAAACAGTTTTAATACATATGTGACATAAAAAATTTTACGGAATATAATTTTGATTTAACAAAAGAAATCCTTTGTTAGCCAGGAGACAAATGAGAATATGTCTTCCAATAAAATGGAAAAGACTGAAGTGTTGAGACTTTCCGGTAGTTGATAGAAACACTGTATTCTATAATTATACATTTTAAAATAATGAAAAAAGCACAGCAAAAAATGTCTACAGGCTTCTCAAAGAATAGAACACCTTTCAAGTAATATGTAGAATGAGGAAAAAGCTCAGGAAGCAACAATTACTTTTTCCAACAGAGGGAAACAAGTAACTGAGAAAGAAAGCTGTGATATAAAATATGAAACTAACACGTGACTTCATTGTAAACAATGAATAGAAGAAAGATGGAATCCATAGAACGTTCTTCTTTAGGTAGCAGAGAGTGTATAACTTGGAATTTTTTGGAGAAAACGTAATCATAGCCAATATCTTCACTCATAGCTCACACTACTTATAGGCATAATGATGCAAATGTCAGTCATTGATTTTCAACTTTAAGAATCCACCTATAGACAAATGGAAAAACTCATCATGCAATAAAATATATTTGTCATCAACTTTTACAATGATAATTAAAGAGAAAGAAGATGAAGGCTGAGAGGTAGATGCAGGGAAAGTTGTTGGGAAGAGGAAGGCCATTAAAATCATCCACTCCCAATTTGGAAGTCAAGATATACAGAAAATAAAATATATGTGATTAAGGAAATTACTGGATGCTAAAATAATCAGGAGTTAGCTAATGTGATGAATTATATTAAAAGAAGGAATAAGAAGATGTACAAGGTAAGAGATAATGTCTATAGTCATTTAAAAGTAGCTATTTTTAAAAAAGACATTCATATTAGAGATATGGAGGTGAAAATAAAAGGATGAAAAACTGAAACACTTTTTTCACTTGAAGCCCTGGTGTACTATTTGACTTTTGAAAATGTGAAAATATGCATTTAATGAAAAAAATAAACTAGCATACTTAAAAGTCACTGAAAGAAGAGAGTTGATGCAGATAATTTTAAAAGTAATTGTCTTCTCTCTGCTTTATCAATTTATCCTGTTTTAGGGATAAAACTCATAGAAGTTATCTATATTCTACGCTTGGTGGAAATGTAAATTAGTACACCCATTAATAAACTTCATGGAAGTTCCTCAACAAAACTAAAAATAGAATTACCATATGATATAGCACCCCTACTTCTGGCTACATTTCCAGCAAATTTTAACTGCACTCCCACATTCATGGTAGCATTATTTACAAAAGCCACGTTCTATCCATCAATAGATAAATGAATTTAAAAATGTGGTGTATATATACACAATGAAATACTAGTCAGCCTAAAAACCCTAAAAAATGGGTTTAAAAAGAAAAAATTCTGTTATTTGCAACAACAGTATATTATTCACTTTTGTACCACTACTGAGACCTGTTAGATAACTAACACATGTTGAATATAGAAATAAATTATTGAATGAGCAGTACAAAATAATCAACATCTATTTCCAGATTAAAATAATTGTCCAACTATGTGACTAGCAATCAGGACTGCCACACTGTGTCTAGTGGGCATCATTCTAATAAGCTATTATAACATATTTCACTTAAAACATGAACAGAGTTGCACAATAATCAAAATGTTGGTATTTTTTCCTCAAGGACCCCAGTTTTTCCCTCAGATCATAACAGATTTTAATAATTCAACCTCAAATACTGTTTAAAGCTAGTGCTTTCACTAATACTATTTGACCTGAATTGCATCAGCTGGGATCTGGAAGTATCTGCCTACAGTGACCCTATAAAGCACACGTTGGAAACAGGATTTGTTAAAGAGTAATTTTTAAACTTTCTTCTGTAATAGAAACTGGGGACCCCGAAAGGGAAGAGTGTAGGAAGAGAGTAAGGGTTTAAAAATTATTTATTTGGTATAATGTTCACACCTGGGCGATGGGTACACTACAAGCCCCAAATTCACCAAAAGGCACACATCCATGTAACAAACCTACACATAAACCCCCTGGATATTTTAAATTAAATTAAATTAAAATAAAAAACTTTCTGCCAACCTAAGAAAATTTTTTTATTTTAACTGTATGTTAAAAGGCACTGAGTAATTATAAACTACTTTAACAAGTAATTTATAACCATAGGTAAGTGCTATTTCAGATGGTATGAATTCAATATCATTAACAACTGTGTTACAGTGGTCACTTTAAAAGATAATAAAGTACAACAGCATAGAAGAGGTGTACCTAGTGAGACATTTTGTTTTTCTGGCAAAATAGCCATTAAATATATTGTTTAAATTTATCAATTTCACATATGTTAGGGAAAACTATCATTAGAATAAAAATCAAACTATTATAATCATAGTAAAAAGATAGAAATAATTTTGTTTTCTCTGATACTT